TACACTCGGCTTTCCTCGACATCCCAAACACACGGACATGGAAAACTTTCATTGTGTGCAATCCCAGTGGCACAGGGAGAGGGTAAGATTTACCCACGATCTGACAGCACTGGCTTAATACTCGACGTTCGACACGCAGCCAATGGGAGCGTTTCTTACTACCTGGATTTTTCTATTAAGTGCTAAGGGCGGTCTCGTTTGTTTTCCACCTCTTGCTTCATACAGATGCAATTATTATTTTCTCGTATACTAATATATTTTTGTTAAAAATTAAAAAAGTATATTTTTTATTATATTTCGTCCATCATTATTTTTAAAGTGACCTCAGGATCCCTACACATTTGGCAATCGCCGTGCCATCTACTGGTAGAGATAAAGCTCCCTATACATCCTGATGCTTTTTAGGATTTGTGATGTGTACTAAGTTTGGATATCTTGATTATACATTCTATCTATGATACAATTGTGTTATGGTATTTTGTATAAATCGATTCAATTCTTGTCAGTGATACTTTAAGCAGCTATCATTTTTTAAATGGGTAAGTTTAAAAAATATAACCGAAGAACAAAATGAATATTTAATGTTTATTAACTTCAAAATAATTTGGTTTCATATGACTAATTATTTTTCAATAATATTTGTTTTTTTTTTTCAAAGTAAATCACTTATACTAATGTATTTAATGTTACTTATATGTTTTTATATAAATAAAATTAATTACATTTTATATAATTATATTTAATAATATTAGATTCAGGTGAGGTGTCAACGCAAAAGAAACATAAAAAACATAAACACAAAAAACATAAGAAGAAAAAGATAATATATGATGATAGTGATGGTTTTACTGCTGAAGTACCTGAGGGTGAAAGAAAAAAAATGTTTAAAGTTAAAGTTAAAAAGGAAGACGAAAAGAGGTATGTCTCAGTTAAATGATTTTTATTCTCATTTACTTAAATAATATCATACATTTTATTAGTGGAGAACTGTTTAATAATTGATCTATATTATGTACAGCATTGAAAAGGTTCGTGAAAAATCTACAAAAGTAACCAATTTAAGTTCGACAGGATGTGTTGCCACATCTTCTTCAAAAGTTCCGACTAAAAAAAAGATTCCAAAGAGTAACAAAGGAAAAGATAGCGGTACTAGTAGCGAAGAAGAAAGGTGGTTAGATGCTATAGAATCTGGAAAACTTGAGGAGGTAGATAGCAATAAAAATTTCTTTTCAATATCTTATTAAATAAAATACTTAAAAAATAATTGAATTCTTTATTATTTAGGTAGATGATGAATTAAAGAAGATCAAACCAAAAGATCCAAAATTAATGACTGCACGACAAAGAGCCATGTTTGAAAGGAAAACGGATACAGAACCAAATCCGGGAGTAGAACGACTTATGTCATTACCAACAGGATATAAAGAAAAGGTTATGACTGCGGAAGCAATTCAAAAAGCTGCTCTTAAGTCCTTAAAAAGAAAACAACTTGCTGATGAAAAAAGGGAGAAAGATAAAGTAAAGATAAACAGTTTTAATAAATTTATAATTGTCCACATAAAGTAGGACCTCGATTAACCGGTTCGTGTTTATCAGACGTCTTAAGTATCCGTTGCTTTATGTTTAATAATAAATGTTGGAATCAGTTCGAGATATATGTATTTAAATTTTTTTCAAATTTTGTTCTTATTATAATTTTACTTTTCTTTTACCGTCCATCGCGAAAGTGTTAATCATGTGATAAAAATGAACACGGATAACAATATAAAAAAAATACAAATACTATTTTCTAATACATATCCAATATAATATATGTGTTAGTATGCACATTTATGTTACTATAAAAAAGAATAACAGATAAAAATGTTATTTTGTATAGAAGAAACGTGTTTTAAAGAGTTTCACCCTCGTCTCGATTTATCTACGTCGTTTATCTCCCGCTCAAGCTGGTTAATCAAGATACTACTGTACTTATGATTAATAAATAGTTAATTTTTATTTGTTTTTGATTGTAGAAAAAGACGATGGAAAGATTATTAAAAAAACAAGAATCGAAAGCTTCGAAAATAATTGGTAAAGGTAAACCATCTAAAAGACAAGTTCCTCTTGTTACTTATCGTATGACAATAGGAGGAAGTTCAATATCTTTACCACCGGGAGAAGAATTTCCACTAAAACCAGCGAAAGTGTAAATATGATATCTTTTCTTTCGAATTTTTTTTTTTAATTTCAATCATATATCTTACATAAAAAATATGTTTTTATTTTTCTAGAAAAGAAATACCGGCACCGGTGCTGTGCAGTGTGAACAAATGTAAAAATCTAAAGAAATATTCTTGTTCTAAAACAGGTGTTCCTTTGTGCAGTTTAGAATGTTATAAGACAAATATATTATTGAAAGTATGATAGTTAATGTAAATAGATGTTAGGAATGTGTACAAATGTTAATAGATATGAATGATTTACAAGAAAATTTGAATAAAGCTAATATGTTTGTAAATAAATTTTTTTTTTATAAAGGAAATGGACTTTTTGGCTTCGTGTTCTGTCTATTTCATAAGCCGTGAATAATCGGACTTTTGTTTCTCATATATACTAAAAATTTAAAGAAACAAAATATAAATAACCTTTATTTTAAATTTATTTTGACGCGAGAAGTCCAATCTTGTGAAATAAAAAGAAAAAATATTGATTTATTCATCGGCATAATATTTTTATACATTTATATATTTTATTTCTTTGTTAAAAAAGAATAAAAAACTAATTATAATTAATTATATACTAAAGACTTTATTTTTTGTGCTCTTATAAATAATCACCTTATATTATAAAAATATACTCTGATAAAAATGTCGGTGTATGATGAAAATCGTGCAATATTTTTTAAAAATATTACGAAAGGAAAAAAAGAAATAATTTTTTAATTAGTATCGTTAAACATGTAATGTCTGTCTATTTTGATAAATCAATATTCCGTTTTTCTGGGAAGATTTGTCAGGTGGCAATAATATTTGGTCAAATAAGGTTTGTTATTATTTTATACAAATAAAGTAAAAATGAGATCGGTAAAAACATAAAAAAAATAATTCGATTATAAAGGAAGAAAAAAAGAGAGTTTCAATTATTTTTCATAATGAACGGGGTATCTCAAGGTAGTTGACAGATCGCAAATCAAAAGATGAAGCTATCTTCTTAAAAGACGATACTACTACTATCATCAAGGCCATTGGTGCGAATAACTTGGAATATTCTGCTTACACAAATTGAGTTCCTCGTATAATTCGATTTAAATGTCTCACTCTGTATATATGAGTTCAACTCATTGAATTAAAATGTATATAAAAAAATAACACCATGGAAAAAACTTGTTTTTTATATTAAATTTATTAACAAATGATATCTTAATTTTTATCTAAAAAATATTCTATTAATGCACTTGATTTACTTTTCTATTAATCGCCGTTAACTTGGGACTCATTGGAAAAGGAAAAAACCGATGAAAATCGAAATACAAATGGCGGTCGGCCAAAGAATACACCTTGGTATCCATTTAACAGATTAAAATTTAACGAAAAGAAAGAACTCAAAGAACTGTAGACGCACTAAGGCAAATGGAAAAGAATCGGGAATTATTCAAAAAAAGAATCGAAATGATATTAAAGGTTATTGTATGAAATTTATTAAATCATTCAGAAAGTAATATCGGTTTTTTAGTAGTAAATAAAAGAAGATTTTTTCATATTTAGAATCAAAGCCGTTTTAAATGATCGTAAATTGTCGAATTTAATAAATTCAACTTTTCGCAATTAGTTATTTCTTTCGTTGCTATGCGACAATTAGCATCTATCAGTGTTTTTTAATTTCATTCTTATTTGTTTTAATTGGACGACTTAAACCTGATGCATCTTTCAAATTAAAATTATTGGAACGAAAATTCGAAAAACAATTTTGACACTAGTGTTTACCTAACATATTCTTTCTGTAAACGGCGCATTATTTTTTTGTTTGTTTAGTTTATATTACATTATTAAATTTATACTAATAAGAAAACAAAGCAAAATATGAACATGGTGACATTGATTTTCCATTTTTGATGAGATGCAAAAAAAAGTTATTAAGACGAATCGAAACACAAGAAGTTTGTAAATCGCTTTTGAAATGTTTATTGTTACAATGTAATGATTTTGATGTTTAGATTAATATTGAATACCAAGAAACGTCACTAACAAAAGTTTTCTACAAAATAGAAATTAATTACTTTCTGAACAACCTGATAATTTGCATGTTTATTATATTCTATCAAAAATATATTTGCACGTAATAAATTTTGTTAGTACGTGCTATATATTGTCAAATTTTATTTTTATTAAAAATCATTAGAACAAATTAAGATTATTTATATTGAACTATAATTTATTCAACGTCAGCTTATGGTTAGTTTTAATTATTCCATAAGAGATATTGTGTTTGATCGAAAATACAGAATTCACAAATGATATTTCGATGTAACAGAAAATGAATAAATTCTAAATAGCAAATGGTTTGACATTGAATTAAAGGAATTAGTTAAAAGAGGGGAGCATAGCGTTGTAATTTATTTATTTCTTTTGACAAACTACTTGAAAAATTCTGTGTTTACTTTCTACAAAACAAAAGCTACATTTCCAAGCAAAAAGTAGCAGATGCATTGAGAGAAAGGACGTGATCGTTCGAGGATAAAGAAAGAGAAGGAGAAAAAGAAAAAGATAAACTAGGGATGCGCATGTGCAAAGATGCGCGTAGCACCGAGCGCGCGCGCGATGTATTTAAGTAGAAAAAAAAATTGCAGTTTAAAGAACCGGCAAGTAAAGAAAAAGAGAAAAAGAGGTAGTCCTACCCTTTAGCAGTCCAGCGTAGTAATAATCATGAAATACAATGAAGATCAGATTCGCGCAGACTCGGCTGTTTTCGTCGTGTTTCGTTTTAGTGCATTCGAACGCGCGTTCAGACGACGATGCTACTTTCCGATGCAAAAGAAAATAATGGAAGGAAAAAAGTTAAAATGAAGGTTAAGTGAGCAAACGCGGCTCTTTTTTCTCCTCTTCTCTTTTTACTCCATCCTTCTCTCTTTTTTTGCTTTCAAGCTTCGCGCAAAAATCATTAAAACGCGTGCCCAATTCATGGTAGCAACACCCGCACTCATACACACGTTTAAAGGCTATTTGACAGAGCGCAGTAAACAAGATGCAATAACAAGAGCGAAAGAGAAAGTGCAAGAAAAGTTGGAATTGAGGGTGGAAGGGGGATGAATAAATAGGTGGGGATAGATTCTCTGATTGTAAGTTCTTCGAGCCGCGTATTTCTGAACGGTTTCGAAATAATAAAGTTTTAGCTGCTTCAACAAAAGGACTCGACGAGAATTTGTTTTTGAACGGAGCATGAACTATAAAGACAGAGATATTTGGGATAACAAGAATAATCAAGAAGACGAGGAAGAGGACGATTTGATAGTAATAGAAAGAAATCATTGTAATTCACGTCTAATTGGGATGGAATGGACTCGGGATAAAACCTTGGAACTTCTTCGAGAATATCAACAGAGACGCATACTTTGGGATTGGAATGCTCGTGGTTACAGGGATAAAACTAAACGTAAACGCGCGATTCAAGAACTCGCTGAGATATTATCTTGCAATATTTTAGAAATCGAGAAGAAAATTACTAATTTGAAGTGTCAATACTCGAGGGAGTTGCACAAAATTGAGAATAGCCGGGATGTTGCTACCAGGCCAGACGATGTTTACGTTTCCAAGTGGTTTGCGTTCAAGCCAATGCAATTTCTTCAATTCGGTTCTCGTCGGTATAATAAAAGAAAGAAGGTAAGAAGAAATTTAATAATAAGAAAAAAACTTTTAATGTTTTTTCCTATTACGATCGATTATAGATACGTGTGTAGATATTTGAAGATAGCTAATACAGGTATTCCTGATTAATGAGTATCATTGAAGCTTATACCGTATAAACAGGGTTTCTGAAATTTTCCGGGCGAAACTGTGTCAATATATTGTATGCTAGCAATTGAATAAAACTATAAACGTCTTATGTTTATAAAATATTTTTTTCTTATAATCGTGTATAAAATATGCTGACTTGGTTGGAAAACCCTCAAACACCCTGTATACATTGATGTTCTTCGTTTATTTATTATCTCGATCAGAAATCAAAATGCGAATCTAAGATACTTAAGCATCTAATTGTATATTCATCGATTTATTGGACTAAATTCTGTAGAAAGCTTTCAAAGTTATCAATAATTAAATAACGTAAAAATGTTTGAAATATCACAGAAAGTCGAAGAAGAATCAAATCTACAAGAAGAATATCTTGTAAGCGACATCGATCCAGAATGTATAACATTCGTCGACTGTAACGAAGAAACGAATGGTTCTACGACTGGTTCGATCAATGATGCTTCATTGAGCGAAGATGCTGAGGAATTATCCTCGTCAAGTTTGAAAACAATGGAACTTTACAATTCTTCGTTACCAAGGTCGAACAATCCGCTTGACGATCTCGAAGAAACCGAACAAACGTTGAACCTTGAAAGGACATCACCGAATCAAACGAAAAAAACTAAAGAAGAATTTGTTAAGTTTGGCGAAAGCATAGCCGTGCAACTCGCTGAAATACCGGACTCTTATTCCAGATCGGTCGCGAAGTTGAGAATCAATCAAATTTTATTTGAAGCCGAAATCGGCGTATATGCGTAAATACGACGCTAATTGACTTATGTCTATCGTGCATTTGATATATTGATAACTTCATAATTAATTAATTAATTATTTGTCCTCTCAAGGATAAAATTTTGAGATCTTGGGAACAATCTGTTTTTACTATATATATATACAGATAGCCCTCCTACAATACGGTTTCCTTTCAAAAAAAAAAAAACCTTTGTACAACACTATACTTCTACAGCCGCGATGAGGCTTGCCGTCTTAAAGATACAGTGTTGAGGAAAGTATTTCCTTTCATCTCCATGGCCTAAAAACAAAACTCTCCTACAACGCGGTTTCACACAACACGGTATTTTCTAGGAACCTATCTATCGTGTTATAGGAGGGTTGTCTGGGTTCATATATATATATATATCTTAGTTTAACGAATTTTATTCATTTTGATATTTCTTTGATTAATATTTAATTATAAAGGAGAGATAATAACGACTGATAATTAAAAAATATTTAAAATATTTGGAGACCAAGACAGCAAAATAAAACGAAAAAAAAATAAAATAAATAATTATTATAAAAATAGTGTATATGCATAATATGAACAAACTTGGTTAACGCAACACGTCTAATCGGGAATCATTTTCTTGCTTTGCTCAATGTCATTCAACAATAGCAGATTTTTAACTAATTACTTTTTTAAGTAATTGATTTTTTTATTTTTTTCATTCATATGCAAAGTATATGTTTAAATATTAAGTGAATAAATAAATTTTATACAAAAATAAAACAATTATTTGATTGCAACTTAATTCGATATTATAATGGAAAACACGTACTCGTTATCGCTTCATTTTTCATCATAGTTAATTGGTTAGCAAAGGACATTTCTTCTTTTTGATAAAAATACAATTATATTTTAAGCTCCATTTGTTTTCTATTATAGTCTATTATAGTCTATAAGAAATAAATTAATTATCAAACTGTGATAAGCATTTTTCTTTCATTAGTTTAAAGAAAACGTATAAAATAATAAGTACTATAAAAATATAACCATATCAATAATAACATACAATAATAAAAAGAAAATAACATTTTAACATATTATATAAACAATAATTTGCAAAGCTATAATCAATTACGCTCTTTCATTTAACACAATTTAAATTTTTGTCGACTATGTAAAATATGCTTTTACACAAAATACTTATAATTATATGATATAAGTGATTTTGTTTAAATTACGAATAAGTCCACTGTAATATGTGCAAAAATCCTAGAAAAAAGAAGTATACATAACTACTAAACAATTTGAATATGAAAGTAAATAGTATTTCTAACACCTTCATAGTTTGAATTACAATAAGAGCGTACAATATTAATATAAGTATCTCTATTTTATACATGTGTTGAGAATGTTCCACTAAAGCAAGGTAAATACGACGAATAGTACGACTACCAAATTCGGTAAGTCTTTCCATTGTATGATGTAATTTGGCATGTTCACTGCATAATTCTTCTACAAAATATAAAATACAAATGAAAATAGAGTATTTTTATTCTAATCGTAAGATTTATTATTTTTAACATGTTAAATGCTATGTCAGTCCTTATAGACTGGTCTTAGTCTTTTCATGCAGGCCAACATTTTCATGCTTTTTTTATAGTTAACACATTATTGTGGCTTAAATGGAAAGTCCAATAAAGGAAGTTTGACGCTTTAACATGTTAATAAAGATAAAACTATATACCTGCGTCCTCTTCAATTTCTTCATGTGATGCAGGTAAGTACTTATCTAATATTAATTCTACGAGATGTGTCGTATTATCCACAGTTTTTAGAATACTGATTCCCGTTTCAGTGGACATGACTCTGTCTGCTTGTTGCCAACTATATAAACGTAAGTAATGTGCTTTATAATAAGTAAGTAAAATCATGATTCTAACTTTTTGTTTTGTTTCGTGTTTAAGATTGGAAAATGTTTTTACAGCTGGTCGTAGATGATTTGTGACTATCGATTTGGTCCTATCTAATATCTAAAAGAATAAAAAAATGATAAAAAACATTTTTTACGATTTAATTCTGTAACATATAGAGACAACGTTTTTCAAAAACGTTATATGTTTTTTATGCCATCTTTGATTGATGCAAATAATCGATACAAATCATAGCATTGTTACCTCTTTAGGCTCTTCTTTGATTATAGGCAGTTTAAATTCCATAAAATCTAAACCCAGACACAAGGTCTTATCCAAAGTATAAATAGGCTTTTCCATTAATCTAGCGACCGGTAATGACTTCTCAATAACAGTATTTACAACATTTTCCACCATATCGAATGCCCAATTAACAAACGTATTAGCTCCTTTCATACGATCATAAACTTTAGTAGATTTATCAAACAAGTAATTTAAACTTGGTATTTTTCTAGCACGATCTACAGATTGAATCCTGCATAACCCATCTGTTACTTCTACTTTCATGTTTGCAAATATGCATCAGAGTGTATATTTCTATTGACACAATCACTTTATTTATAGAAAAACTAGTAGAGAGCTGCAAGAAAAGTTTTATTCTGAATTATTGAATAAGAGAACCGTAATTAATACAACAGAAAATACTAAATAATTTAAAAATATTTGTGTCTACATTTTTCTATATTATTCTTATTCTTATTTATATATATTAATCATAATAAAAGTATAATGAGAAAATTAATTTAAAAAAATATATCATCTTCACAAAAATATTAAAAGGAAAAATTTTTAAAGTTTCATTTTGGTAAATGCATATTATATTTATACAAGAATGCAAAATTATTTAATTTAACGTAAATTTCATTTCAGAATTAATTGTAAATAGAAGTATGTGTGTGTTTATAATTATAAGAGTGGATTAAGTATTAAAAATTATTATTATCAAATAAATCATGAAATAAATTTTCTCTATTTTATGACTTAGCCATTGTCATAATTATTAATACATATATAACAGATATTTTTTATAGTCTCTTACCAGTTATAATCACCTATTTTATCACTAATCCATTTACTTCCACATCGAATATTCACTCCGCAATAGAAACGCGTACCTTGATCTCTGATTCATTATAATATTTATTTTGTTTATATTCTGATAATTAATCACTTCAGGTTTTCTTTTATTATTCTTTTTAACGAGTACTCTTTACCTCTTGTTGTTTTTTTATCTTTTTCTTCTTTCTTTCTTTATCATATGGCTATAATATATATTATGCAGTTTTTAAAACAATTAGGTTATGTTCAAGAAAATTCATAGGACCAGATGTTTCATATTGATGATTTGATTTTCATTATTGCCGCTAGATATCACTATTGTGTACTTTTTATGAGGCGCCAAAATACAAATTTGATAATTAATTAAGAGAATCGTCAATTATTATTATTATTAATGATGTTATTCATACCTTGTAAATGTAACATATAAATATTATTTTAATATCTTATTCTCATTTATATGTAATACAATAAATACATCAAACAGATTGATGAATCTCAAAGAACATGAAATTTTTAAATATTTTTTCCATTTCATTGTTTTAATCCACTTCTAATATTTTTTAACAATAAGAAGAAATAATTTCGTATAATTGGAAGGTGTTCTAGTGTTTTCCTCTCTCTCTAGTTTTATATATATTATGTTATGTATATATTTATTTACTAAATTTATCAGTTATCTTTTTCCATAGAAGTTGTAATGGTAAGAAACCATTTCTTTTGGCATGTTGTGGATGAAAAACATCAAAATCTGTTCTCCTTAATTCTTCTAAATAATTTTCTAAAAAAACTATTGGTAAAAATATTACCTTGCTTTTTTTAAAAGTATTAAGCAAGATTGCCTGAAACAATGATTATACAAAAATGTAATTAACAATTATTGTCTTGTAATTAAAAACATGATAAAAATGCTATACCTCGTCTAGATGTTGTTTCGCACAAGATGCTACTTCAAATATTACATCATTTACTGCTGTAGTTTTTACATTTCTTAATATTGCTTCGGAGGATACATTGTGTTTCATTAAAATATCTTGTGGTAAAATGATAACACGTTTCTGAGCATGATACGGAATGGAACGTATTAAAGTAATAATTCCATGTGCCTTACCCAAATGACTAGCTGCATGATCTGCATTTATATTTTTAATACCATTTGCTTCTAAGAGTAAATAATAGATTGATGAAACAGCATTTTCAGAATAATTTTCGATAGCTTGTATATTAGGAAATATTGACTTTTCTAATTTATCTAAGCGAGCCTCGATTAGACGTTTGAAATATCTTTTTGAAAGTTTATGCTTTTGTAATATCTGTATTAAAAATAAAACATATAAATGTGACATTTTATCTATATAATGAGTTGTATTAATGTTTTGCAATATAATCTTTACCCTGTGTAATTCTATAGCAACTGGTGTTTTAGATGGCAAACCATCATATATGCTGTTCAGTGTTTCTTTCCAAAATTGTAATCTCATTTGTCCTACGTGTTTCATAGTTACTTGATCTTCAACTTGTGCTATTTCAACGTTAAAAGCACGTATTGCAAAACCCGCAGCTTTTATATTCTTAGGTAATAGTAACGTGCATAAAAAATTCTCATAATCGTTTTTTCTAGAAGTAAAAAATATATGCACATAGAAATAAATAAATGTACGATTAAAACAATCGGATAAAAAGGTGAACTTTCTTTTTATAAAAGATTTTACTTTTTATTTTATGTTATCATTGCATTCAATGAGCATACCTAACCAATTCCAAACAATATTCACCAGGTGACTGTTTTTTCATTGTAGTCATACAACGAAAACATTGTCGTACTATACTTTTATTAACAAGTAATGACAAAGTAGTCATTTTGTAGTTTTTTATATTAAGTTTGTTAACATCAAAATATAACCAAAGATAACCTTACTTTAGCATTATACAGTACGTGTATGAATCGTGAAGCGCCATTTTTATATAGAGACACATGTAAACTTCTTATAATATTATATTGTATATTTATATAAAATTGTAAACTAACAAACATTCTTTACAGTCTATTTAAACTGTTCTTTAATATAAAATTTGGTAGATTAAATAGTATAAAAAAATATTAAGTTTGTCCGAAAATAATATTAGTTTTGTTTATTTTATAATGGCATAAAAATAAATTTTTTATTGATAATCCTGACTATATAAGACATGTTATAGAAAAATGAATTAACAAATTATTTATAGTAATTATTAAAATGTTTAGCAAATTTATTAATTCTTTATTCAGATATAAAATATTGAATGTCTCATTTCTTCTTACATATTGTATATTATTATACAAAGTTTATTTTAGTAAAGTTTTGCTAGCATATTCTATAAATAAAAGTAAGAACAAAATTTATATAAACATGAGCTTTTAAAAAGTTATTGAAAAGTTATTAAAATATACGAAATGACAACGGACTACTTTCTTGTTCAGTACTACATAGAAATAAATTGCTGATTTAGATTATAATTCTATTTCTAAATATTGTTTGTTATTATGAACATAAGATTGGCTTTGATAAAGAATAAAATTTATTGCAATAATTATTTCTTGTTCACTTTCTTTTACATTAATTCTTGACGCATATTAATTTCTGTTTGATGAACTTTTTCTTTTACTGTTATCCATAAGTAATAATCCATTGGAGATCATAATTATGCAACCATTATCAATATTGATATTATATAATGTACTGGAAAACCATCTAATTGGATTCATAAATGTTGGGGAAATAGAAATGAAATATCTTCTACTAATTCTGGTTACAATTCACTTTCTATGAAATCTAAAAACTGTAGTTAATCTTTTAGGTAAACAGTGAAGTCCAAGTACGTTATTGTTGCATATTCAAATAGCAACAACAAAGCGCACTTAACTGTGTCAATGAAATCCAAACCCTTTATAATTTCGTATTTTTGTCATAACTTTTTAATTAAACATTAAAGAGTCCATGTTAATAGAACAATTTTTTTCATTTAACAGTTTGATGTCTAATCATTGAAGTTAAGTATCAATGAAGTGCTTTAATATTAAAATTAAAACCAATTATAAACGTAGTGTTAATAGCTTTGGCTTGTGAATGATTTATATGTTAAAAGTCTTTTTTATCATTCTTATTGTCATATTACTGATATACAATAATCACAAGAAAAATTAATTTATATTTATTATAAATAATTTTTATTTTTTAAAGTATTTCTTAAGAAATTAAATCACATGGACTCTTTTTTAAATATAGTAACCACGCATTTAAACTTATTTCATACACCAGAGAAAAGCTTCCTATAAGTAGCACTAAATAAATTATATTCAGACTTGCTTAAGTAGCAGTAATTCTCCTTAAAAAGTTAACAACGCGACAGTCTTATTAATTATTATTAGCAACTTTTGTGACTTTTATTGATTCAATAAAATAGCTTTAATGTCTAAAATAATAATGCATTAATCTTTAAACTTCTATTTTGTATATATAGATAAATACTTACACATATATATGTATATATATGTCATTTAATTTGTATGCGATCAATCTTAATTATAGATAATCTTACAAAACTATTTTTATAAAATTAAATCCTAATTAAATCACATTTATAACATTATTAACCTTTTAGGCACTACGCGCCACTATAGTGGCTTTCGTGAATAACATCTTTTAAAATGTATTATACCTAGTTTTATTATTAATTATTAAAGTAAATTATCTAAATAAAGTATATGTGTACCATTTCTTTGGAAAAAATTATAATTTAATCGTGAAAAACTTTTTAAAAATGTACTCGCGTAAAGAATAGCCTTTATTCGTCACACATCATAATTTTAACGTAATTCTTGTTGAACCTTGCCGTATAGAGAAACAGTAACGCGCAACATTCAACAGTGCCTAAGAGATTAATGAATTCCAAATAGAAAGAAGTTATTTTAGAATACAATATAAGACCTGAATTTTGTGTATAGAAACATGACAGATATACTCTATTTACTTGATATTTTATTTTTAATTTTAATAATTTAATTAGTATGATCGAAAGTAATAGTATATTAATTATTTATAATAATTATTTGGGTTTTTTTTTTGTAAAAACGTTGTGAGCATATCTACGCTTGAAAAATAAGATCAAAATGATACATAAATATATAGATTATTTAAAGCTTTATTCAAAAGTTATAGCATAAATAGTTAAATTGACTAAATATGTTGTTTACTATCTTGAAGCGATTAAACGTATTCTTATGTAAATAATAGCTTGATCGTCTATATCACCTGATCTCATCCCACAAGGTTTTTATTTATGGAGGAAACAGGAAATTTATGCAACTGAGATAGCTAAACTTGACATGATGGAACAAATTTAGGATGCAGCTGCAGAAATCCGTAAAATATTCACAATATTATAAACAGTATATATTACATCGGTACTTATATTTGTGTAGGTAGGCAACATTTTATATAGCATATCTAAACAGTTTTACAATTTACATTATAACTTTTGAATAAAGCTTTAAATTATCTACATAAAGTTTTTTTTCTTATTTTTGTACGCAGAATACGTTCACAATGTTTGTATGAAAAAATCTCAAAAATCTTATATATATATTTATCCGTATACTTATATGAAAGTAATTATTTAAAACAATATTAACAATGTGTTAAGATAATTAAAATTTAATTAAATATATTTTAATATACTAATAGAATTGTATAGCTTACTGTAACAAATATATATATATATATATGAATAGCTTAGTATAAACTGATTATAAATTATCTTTATTTCATATTTTTATACGGATAATAAGATTAAAGTTATTTTGTGAGATATAATTGTATCAAACTATAATAGCTTATATAAAAGCTTACATAGATATAGTCAGTGCCTGACGTTCACGTATTGGCTCTATATCAAATATTGCACAAGCAATTTCATTTGATATAAAATTATAAGATATTGAAGTAATCAAATAAAATTCAACTCCAAACATCGCTGGAATAACGTTTCTGCGAATCCATTTGTTTAATGTACATTGATGCTTCTTTATCCGACATATTTCCTTTTTCTTTTACAACTTTTAGTAATATATTATGTACATCACGAGCCATATTCCTAGCATC